ATTTCCAGTACTTAATGCCTGCAGATTCGGAAGTCCTCTGCATTCTAGGAGCTGGCGTCAAAGCATATAGCCACTACGAACTTTTCACAGAGTTGTTCTCATTTAAAGAGGTGGGTAATCCAATTTACACCGGAGAAAATCGTTGCTTTAAATCAGACAAAGCTATTTCTGGAGAGCTTAGATGATTGTTTTTCAAACTTGGCAACTCCCAGATGCGTGGACCTCAACCCTCTGTTTCATTTCCCTTGCAGGTTCGAATCTGGAACCGCACCAAGGAGAACGCAGAAAAGTTTGCTCGCACGGTGAACGGACCAGTGCAAGTGTGTTCCTCAGCCCAGGAGGCTGTCAGCGGGGCTGATGTGATTGTCACAGTCACAATGGCAACTCAGCCCATCTTGCATGGAGAGTGGGTGAAGCCCGGAGCCCATATCAATGGTAAGGGGCGCATCGGGAGCTGATTTTCTCTGCGGTGAGTAAGATTACAATGCAGGGTTGCTAGTCCTAGTGAGCTAGTGAGCGTGGTGGAGTTCAAATGCTAACAACGCTGTATTCTTCTGGAGCTATGGGTTCAGATTGCAAAAAGGAAAGAGAGGGAGGAATTTGGACAACTTATTAGAAGATCGTTCCTATTAACACAAGGGAAGAGCTTGCAAAGCCATTGCTGTATCCTTTGTTAAAAACGTCTGGATGAGTGGACTACCCCTCAAGGAAGTTGTTCCTGCAGATTCGTGTATAAGCAGGGTCTGAACTAGATGACCTCTGATGTTCTCCCACCCCTGTGCTTGTTTTCACAAACACATGGAACCAGCTGAACGACAAAAATAGCCGCTCCGCTTGTACCACGTGCTAGGTTTGGTTAGCCTGAAGTTCGGTGAAGTTAATGGGTTGAGTAAACCCCAGCTATTTGGTTAGTTAATGTAGAACTTAAATCCTGCAATGCCGAAAGATAGAGAACGTTTGACTTCTGCGTATTGGGGCGGGCACATCTGTCTCTCTGGGGCTTCATTCTCATCTGCAGGAAAGAGAGTTACTGTACTTTGTTCAGCCAGTTCTTCCAGAAAAAAACTGGCATTTTTGTGTTTCAGCCGTAGGAGCGAGCCGGCCTGATTGGCGGGAACTCGATGATCATGCAATGAGGAATTCTGTATTGTACGTCGATTCCAAAGAGGCAGCTCTGAGCGAATCAGGAGATGTTATTTTATCGGGGGTAAGGAAGTGGATCATTTCTCCCCCTTTTCCTTTTCCTTTTTATTTTTTTAGCATTTTACTGAGGGGTTTTCTCCAGGGGGTGCTGAGATTGAAACGGCGGCAGGAGACAGACCTGGTGCGAAACCATGGATTCTTTTGATCCTGGTTTACTAAAGAAACCATAACAGTGGAGTTCACACAAAACCGAACCGAATGATAAGGCTCCAGTCAGGTGCATTTGGGGTGCCCCAGGAGAAGGATGCAGTCGCAGCTCTGAAAATTAGTTTGGTCTTAGGAATAGTTTGAGGGAGGGCTGGCACCTAGGGCAATTGGTCCTCTTTTTCTATCTGCACAGTGGAAATGTGTAGAGGGGTACAGAGCTAATGTTGAGGAAGGAATGCAGGAACAGTTAAGTGAACAGGAGTTAGTCTCAGGAAGGAAGATGGAGTGAGAAAGAAAGAAAGAAACTCAAGATAGCCCCACCTTAGGTTCTCCTTGCGAGGTAATCCAAACAGGAAGCACACCCGGATGAACTAATTCTACTTTATTGTAAGGTTACATTAACAGAATCTTGCAAGTCTGGAAGTACATCTCTCCCCATTGCCTTTACAGTCTAAGAAACTAAGGAGGGTCCCTTCTGGGACGTTTGCCAGGCCCCCATCCCTTCTGCAACTCAGCTGATGCTTATCTGACTATTGCCTAGTCTGTGGCTCTTCCTCCTGTCCCCAAGGTCATTCCCACAGACAATTACATCTTGATCTTCTTGATATAAGAGGGGAGAAAGGGAAACTCTGTCAGGCTTTCAAAATTCTGTCATTATACCCTACTACAATAAAGGAGAGCTCTATTATTTCTTCTGGTGTCTGTTTCCTGTCCTGGCCAACCTCAAAGGGGCAACAAAATGTGTATGCTTTATTCTGCCTGCATTCCAGTCTTCCGCCTGTCCCTTCCCTTCCCTTCCCTTCCCTTCCCTTCCCTTCCCTTCCCTTCCCTTCCCTTCC